GAGAGGTGAATTGTGCTGCTCTTCAGGGCTCATGAGGTTGGAGGTTTGCCCTCAGAGGCTCACGTGTTCATGGGGTACCAGCACAGTGTTGTAGCAGTACAGCCATCACCTGGCAGCTGTAAGAGAAATGGTCGCCCCCCACACGGCTTGATGCTAGGTCTGCAGATCGCTTTTGCTTCCCAGCGAGTTCCCTCAAATGAAGATCGTGGCAGAAGACTGGAACACCACTGATGTGGAAAACAGACCTGTATTCACTTGAAGCAACACAACACTTCCTTTCCAGAAAATATATTAAAAAGATGAAGAAAAGAAAGAAACCCTAAGCACTTTCTTGATTTCTATAGAAGATACTCACTCAAGACTAACAAATTTAGTACAAAGAGTGAAGCAGAACGTCACATTGCAATCAGTACGCTCCAAGCCTCCATCTCAGTAATCCCTCAATTTACAGATATTTAAATACAGATGTTAATGACATGCTACTTTGGACTTTAAGATAATTATATTTAAGGCAGCGTTGTCCTCAGAGGTCTCCAAACAAGACATTATTTAAGATCATCGGGGTTGGACTAGATGACCTTTAAAGGTCTCTTCCAACCCAAACCATTTTGTGATTCTGCAATTCTGTGGTCATTTTGGAACATCCTAAATACACAAGAAGATAAAAACCTTTGCGGGCTCTATGAGCCAGTGTACATGGAACGTATTTCTGTTGCTTTTGGCTGCTGGTACATCAGCAAGCAGGAACTTTATTTCTTGCAGTGTTAAGAAAGATCAGCTTTCCAAGCAGAAAGCCTGACCAATCAGTCGCCTGACTCATCTAGTGGCCTTCTACCATGGAGTGACTGCAGGGGTGGATAAGGGGAGAGCAACTGATGTCATCTATCTGGACTTCTGTAAGGCCTTTGACACGGTCCTGCACAACATCCTTGTCTCTAAATTGGAGAGTTAATGGTTTGATGGATGGCCTGTTCAATGGGTAAGGAATTGGCTGCAGGGTCACATCCAAAGAGTTGCAGTCAACAGCTCAATGACCAAACAGAGATCAGTAACAAGTGGTATCCCTCAGGGGTCTGTACTGGGACCAGTACTGTTCAATATCTTTATTAATGACATAGACAGTGGGACTGAGTGCACCTGCAGCAAGTTTGTGGGTAATACAAGCTGAGCGTGCAGTTGGTATGCTTGAGGGACAGGACGTCACCCAGAGGGACCTTGCCAGGCTTGAGAAGTGGGCTAATGTGAACCTCATGAAGTTCACCAAGGCCAAGTGCAAGGTCGTGTATATGGGCCACGGCAATTGTCAGCATCAGTACAGACTGGGTGATGAATGGATTGAGAGCAGCCCTGCAGAGAAGGACTTGGGGATATTGGTAGATGAAAAATTAGATGTGAGCAAGCAATGTATGCTTGCAGTTCAGACAGATAGCCAATTGTATCCTGGGCTGCATCCTCAGCAGCGTGGCCAGCAGGTTGAGGGGTGTGATTCCCCCACTCTACTACACTCTTGTGAGACCCCTCCCAGAGTCCTGTGTCAAGCTCTGGGGCCCCCAGTACAAGAAGGACATGAACCTGTTAGAGCAGGTCCAGAGGAGGCCACAAAAATCTTCAGAGGGATGGAACACCTCTTCTATGAAGAAAGGCTGAGAGAGCTGTTGTTCTGCCTGGAGAACAAGAGTCTCCAGGGAGACCTTACTGAGGTCTTTCAATATATAGAAGGGCTTATTAGAAAGGCGGGGAAAAACTTTTTATCAAGGTTTGTAGTGACACAACAAGCAGTAACCATTTTATAGTGAAAGAGGGTAGATGTAGATTAGACATAAGGAAGAATTTTTTTTACCACAAGGGTGGTAAGACACTGGAATATGTTGCCAAGAGAAGTTGTGGATGTCCTGTCACTGGAAGTGTTCACGGTAGGGTTGGATGGGTCTTTGAGTAACTTGATCTAGTGAAAGACGTCCTTGCCCACAGCAGGTGGGGTTGGAACAAGGTGATCTTTAAAGGTCCCTTCCAACCTAAACCATTCTAGGATTTTATGATTCTGTGATATATAACATGCATGGATTGGATAGATACATGATCAAAACTGCACATGCAGTCAAGAACATCAAAGAACAAGAGACTGGAAAATCCTACCCCTCAGCAGACACAGACTCCTCCACCTCCACATCAGGTAGCAGTGCATAAGCACATAAATAACAGCGTACGGCCCATGTCCTGAGCTCCAGATAGAAGTCTGGATAGTGAATGCATGTATAGATACCTTGGATCTGAATTAGTGGTTCACACGTAGGCATCCAGTTACTTTTAAGATGTCCAAGTGTACCTGGGGCACCCATGAAAAGTTGTCAGAAGTGACTATCGCATGGCACATGGGATGATCTCAGACATCTCAAATGGCATAAAACCCTACATTTAGGCAACTGAATCAAAAAATCACGATTAGCTGATATGTTTTGAGTGATCTTAGCACGGGGAAAAGAGTAAATCCGCACTGTCTTGCCTGAGGTCTAGCTCACAATGTGCTTTTAGAAGAGCGCAAAGTGTTTCATGCAAAGAATTGCTGCTTTTTTTCTTCAGAGTGCCAGAAAGGTGCCGGATTAAAATAACTTCCCTATACAGATTCTCAGGACCGCATGGGCTGAAAACAAAGCTCAAAGACTTGTCAAGTGGGTACTGTTCAGATGGTCCTGATATCCTTTCCAGAGCTGGATTTAGAGGACATGATTGTTACGTGTTTGCCATAGATATGATCTTGCCAGAACGGATGAATAAGAAAGTGGCAATCATACAGTGCATAACTGAAGTCTACTATTTCATAAGAACTGTTCTTCCCAATGAAAACTATGGCAACTAGAAGCGGCCAGATGGCAGTATCTTAGGGGAGCTTGTGAGAGCTCTCTTTAAAGACATTTCCAAAAAGTCTGTTCAAAGATGAAAAAAACCTGCTGAAAAAAATCAGAATAAAATCAGAATAAAAAACGGCTAGAGGAAGCTAAGTAGGGAAAAAAAAATAGCATGGAGAAACCAGTAATTTCTCCAACTCAGCTCAGCTGCACAACTAGGAACAGAAATGTGTAGCACATACACATCCCATTTATGTTCACACAGACTAGGTTATGAAATATGTGCTTATGCTTCTGGGTGTCTCTGAGCAAAAAAATCCTCCAATGTCCAGCATCTGGAGGCATATAAACATCCATAATGCAAACGTGTATAAAAACAGCACTAGAAAAAAACCTCAGCTGTGTTTTTGCACTAGAAACCTAACTAAAAAAAGCTATCAGAAAATAGACTTCAAAGATTTTTCCCACTTCTTAATTCCAGGATTCTTCTTATTTAATTACCATTTTAATTTTTGTTCACTGTTGATAGCATACAACACATGAAGTAGCTATAAAAAGCTTTCAAAGTATCTCAATCAAATGCAAAGCTCACAATACTACGGAGCTATTCTGAAATGTAAAACCAGATTATACTGCAGAGAATTAAAAGAGATTATTTCATTCTTCTACTTCCTTGGCTACACCACCTTGTCCTGTGTCCACGTCTCCCCTGGGCCAACAGCCAGCACTCAGCATCTTTGGAGAAACACTCAGCAGTCCATCCTAACTATCCTTGGTGCACTGGAACCACGAGTGGACTGGGAAAGAGAAGTTGTGCTGAAGATCCCTATTCTACGTAAGCAATTTAATTATTTAATACCCAGGCCATTAAACAGAGTGGACAATAATTACCAGATAAGTCTTGGACCATATATGCTTATAAAAATTACAAGTAGTGCAGGCAAAGGATGAAAGTACAAAATACAAGAGTGCAGAAGTATTAGGAAGTAATGGACTATTTGGATGAATAAGACCAGTATCACTGATCCTTCCATAGATAAAGCTTCTCATCGCTACGTTCTGCTGGAGTTCTGGGGATCTACACATCAGTCAATGCCAAAGGCATGGTATACTTTTTATTTGTTCCAGATGTTTTTATATTTCTAAATATTTGCACTCAGGAACATTCATACTGCTACAAGTTCTCACCAGAAATTCTCCCTCCTCTATACATTTTCTGTAGCATTTATAAGGCAATTTCTTATTAGTTCAGCATTGCCTATAAAATACCACCTTAAAACACCTCTTTTCAAATTTTTAACTATTTCCAGAAAGTGTCTGCTTTTTCAGGTGCCTTGCAGCACTTCTCCACACTTGCTAGTGTCCATTATTTGTTTGTGCTGCTGAACTTCTTACGTGCTTTCTACCAAGCCTATGTGACAGATTGCCAGTGAGAACAGTGTATCAACTTCAGCATTTGGCATAAAAGGTGTTAACCAGAAATAAACCAAAAGAAAACCTCCAAGCTGTTCTCCACTAGCGAGTCTAGGAAAGCAGGAATTTGCTATAACAGCAACATTCGTCAGTTGGCTGCCAGTGGTTCTATGTTTCAGATAGCAGAAAGAAACTGCATTGGGTTATTAGTACTATAGAAGGATTAGCCTAAGAGTGCAACAAAAAATAGATGCAAGTGTTTGGGGTGGAAATGCTAGGATGCTGTGCATTGAACGAGATAAAACAAATTATTAATAATAACGCAAATGAGGAGTTTAGATTTCTCCGTACAAAACTCTTGGTTATATGGAAATAAAAACAAAGAATGTGTGATTTCTGATTTTTGTTCACACTCAGATACAGACAAAAGTAAAATCAGAGCTTGTGCTTTGTCTAAGGAATGCGTTTGCATAATTTGAAACTGAATTCCTTTCCTGAAGAAACTATTTTCCTTCTTCCTCAGAATATTTGTACAGACATTAACTCCATAACTATTAGGAGACATCAACGGGATAGGGATACCACAGCTTTCGTTATAGTTTAGGATGCAAGGCCAACACCAGGGCTAACTAAATACCTGATTTTTTTAGTTGCTGCAGTCACTCATTTCACTCTTCACTGTGACCCATAATCTGAAAGGATTCTACTCCCGATCCTTAAAAGTCAAAGAGCAAGACTTACCTGAACAGACCTCCTTGTAGGTAGGATTTGGAGTATACCCTCCTGCGTAACCCACTTGAGTGGAGTAGACTCCCTTCTGTCTCCAGAACTTCCTCTCGGCTCCCCAGAAACAGCCCATACCTGAACAGCGCAGAAAGCACATATCGTTACGGCAAAATCTGCTCAATACGACATCGCTCATTTGCACATTAATTAATATAGTCCATAGTGGAAGTATCAAAGAATCACAGAATCACAGAATGGTAGGGGTTGGAAGGGAGCCAGGGCTCTGTCACCCTCAGAGGGAAGAAGTTCTTCCTCGGGTTCAGCTGGAACTTCCCAGGCTTCAGTTTGCGCCCGTTGCCCCTTGTCCTGTCGCTGGGCACCACTGAAAAGGGTCTGGTCCCGTCCTCCTGACCCCCACCCTGCAGATAGTTACAGGCATTTCTAAGGTCCCCTCTCAGCCTTCTCTTCTCCAGGCTGAACAAGCCCAGCTCCCTCAGCCTTTCCTCATAGGAGAGATGCTCCAGCCCCCTCATTATCCTCATAGCCCTCTGCTGGACTCTCTCCAGTAGCTCTTCATCTTTCTTGAACTGGGGAGCCCAGAACTGGACACAGCACTGCAGATGGAGCCTCGATCGTCAAATGTTTCCCAAGGTAATGCATAGAGTAACTACACTGAGAAATCCATTCTGCACCAGAGCACAACTCAAATAAAACTTTATTTCTGCTTCTGAATACGAACGTATCCCACAGGACAAATCCTATAAGGGTTCAAAGGCCCAAACAAGAATTCTCACACACACAAAAAAAAGTTCCTTAAAAGACACTTGCGCTATCTGTGCAGCACCATTTTTTATCCAGTTGATTAGCAAGCTGTCAAAACACAATAATTTGTATTAAAGGCAAACAGTTATTTAATTTTTTGCTTTCAGGCATTTGCAATCTTTAAAGGTGGCAGTAATAATGGATTAAATTATACGCTGTACAGGAGGAAAAATGCTTTGGTTTAACAATTTATGCATGCAGATATTTGATGTTCAGATCAGATTTTAGTAGTCATTCACCCACGTGGCCAATTATCAAAGGACGGCAGGCTGACAACAGGCACACATCAGCAAAACTCTCCTGGTAATTGGAATCACGTATGAAATCCAGAGGGAAGGAACAAACAAGAATAACATTCACAATCCTCTGATGGATTAAACAGTTACGAGATGTTAGGTAGTATCTGGAGGACTCTAAAGCTGAAACGTGCCAGGTACACTCCAGCATTGTTTAGCTCACCCCAGATTACGGGCAATGTATTTTCTATTTCAGTGACAACATAATTCCTTTTATTATTCCCTTACTAAAACATTCGAAATAAAAGGCTGTAAAAAGTAAGCTACATATTAAATACACTTCGAAATCAATGATCCATGATGGGTTTTCTATTGATAACACCGCAGATATGACAGTGATACCTGTAAATGTAAAATTTCCACTTACTAGAGTGATTCTAATTAAAGTAGATTCTTGCTGCTCTGAGAAGACAGGAAAGCGCTAAGATAAAGAGGCTCCTAAATAACACTACTTAGACAAACTGGACTTGCTGTTTTGGGGGGCGATACGAAAGGTCTAAGATAGAGAGACTCCTAAATGATGTTATTGTCAGCTCAGCCTTGGGAGGGCAGAGGCACCGAGCTACAGAGAGAAAGAGGCAACAAGACCAGAGCAAAAGAACCTGGAAGGACACGGTATACGTGATCTTAGAACTGAATTTGCACAGAAAGAAAGGTCAACCAGCGGACACTGTGATGAGGAGTATAAGCCTTCATCTTAGGACCCCCAAAGACCACTTGAGGACGCTAACAGACATGCGTGAAAGACATTAACATATGCTGATTAGTTCTTGGAAAAGTTATGAATATGCTAAGCATTTCTCGGAAATATAATGAATATGTATATTGTGCTTGTATTTAACCTGAAATGACAGGGTGTTTGGCGTGCACGTTTGGAGGAGAGATCCCCCGTGTGCCCAGCACCATAACAAAGAATACCTGCTTAATAGTCTTCCGACTATTGAGTCTTCAACTCTAGCTTTTCACGGCATCAACAGGCTAAAAAATTACAGAAATGTTCCTTCAAACTACAGCTACAACTCCAAAGCAGTCCCTTCCAGCAACCACGATGGCTCACGAAGGCACGTTCTTGCTTTGAAACTTCAGAGATTAGCTTCAAATTAATGTAACTTCTTTTGACCAACTCCCGTCCCTGCAGCTGTAACGCACCAAAAACACAGAAGTAACGACCTACATTTCTCCTTCTAATGCAGGTGCTCAAGCAAGCCACCTAGATTAGGAGCCTAGCCTGCTCCTGGAGACCATGGAAAGAGGCAGGCATCTCCTGAGGACAACTCAGCCCACAGAAGATATAAATTGCTGATCAAATTACATTATTATCCCTTGACTACAGAGATAGAAATGGCTATTTAGACTTGGGTTCCTCAGCTAAATTAGGCTGGTTGGAAACTGCTATAGGACCTCTCCTGAAACTCCCTCCTCATTTGGAAGACAGAGTAGTCTAGAATTCTGATTTGAGAGAAATTTTTCAGGCGCTCATAAATCACCTATCTAATGGTGATTTAAACTAGACCATACTTCTGTTCCTGATGTCATTATTTTACCTCGGTTAAGTCTGGGAAGTTCTCCAGTAATTATGCCCCAAGGTCTGGTCAATTGATATTGAGTGAGACAGTTTTTACACATCAGTCTATGTCGCACAGCACAAACGGCGGCTGTGGTCCTGTCATTGTCCACATCAAGAGCATAACTAGAGAACATCAGCAAACCCTGATGCTCAGGTTTCCTTCCGACAGAGGTCAGAGCATGTCCAAGGGGGCCAGTGCATGCCCACATCTCATCCCGACACTCCGGTCACAGACGGGAGGGAGCCTACAGCGATGACCTGGGAAGTGCTCCTCGGCCCATTGTGAAAACAGCCTTTGAACACATCATTTCGATGCAGCCTTTGAGTCTTTAACCAAATACTTGCTTAGAAGTGTATTTTTATATATTCACAGCCTGGAAAGCCAATGGTACTGTGGGTAGCAGGGCAAGGGAGGGGATTGTGCCCCTCTGCCCCACTCTGCTGAGACCCCCTGGGAGTCCTGCTTCCAGCTCTGGAGCCCTCAGGACAGGAAAAAGCTGGAGCTGTGGGAGCGGGGCCAGAGGAAGCCCCAGCAATGATCCGAGGGCTGGAACCCCTCTGCTGGGAGAGCTGGGGCTGGTCAGCCTGGAGCAGAGAAGGCTCCAGAAACACCTGATAGTGGCCTTTCAGTACTTAAGGGCGACTTATAAGAAAGCTGGAGACGGACTTTTGACAAGGGCATGGAGTGATAGGACAAGGGGTGATGGCTTTAAACTGAAAGAGGGGAGATTTAGATTGGATATAAGGAAGAAATTTTTCACTCTGAGGATGGTGAAGCCCTGGCCCAGGTTGCCCAGAGAAGCTGTGGCTGCCCCCTCCCTGACAGTGTTCAAGGCCAGGTTGGACGGGACTTTGAGCACCCTGGGCTGGGGGAAGATGTCCCTGCTGATGGCAGGGGGGTTGGAACGAGACGATCTTTAAGGTCCCTTCCAACCCAAACCGCTCTATGATTCTATGATTTATCCACATCTGCATATGTACATGGAAAACTGTGTGAACATGGGTACGTCTGCACGCCTTTCGTAAAAATACCACATGCGCCCTGCCAAAATTCCTGTTGCAGTACGTTCGGGTGATGTGAAAGGTGTGGGAAATACTCATTAACGATACTTTAACACAGAGGGTATATAAATTCTTGACTCTTTTACACTGGATGGGCTTATAGTAACAGTCCAGAAGCAAACACAAGCACATATAGCTTGGGGTACGAGGGAAAATTTCTGTTAAAATAAGACCCGTGATCTTCATCATTGCTGTCTGCAGTTCTTTATTCCTCATGCCCAATATCAGAGATGTACCTAAATCTCAACTACGTCTTCATACTGCTTTATCCATGAGGACATTTTGGAGGCATTAAAGAATTAGGCAGCGATGAAGAACTGATCTGAAAAGCACATCCGATTTTGCTAAAGTCAACACAGAAGAGAAAATATAATTTTTAAAACTCATGACTGGGATAATTGTTTAGCTATGTGAAAGGCCTATCGTATATCCAGTCCATCACAGGTTCCTAAAAATGGTATTTCCATTTCACTGCAAGATAGTGAAAAGTTAAGAACACAGATTTTCCATGGTCATCCAGTCTGCTCTAACAGATTTTGTTCCTTCTGATAATCACAACATACTCTGTCAACAAAAGACAATTTTGTATTTAGGTATGCAACCCCAAGTGAGTAAGGAGGCAGGAGTCACTTAAATCTTCTCTATCTTCAATTCAGATCTTTAACTACACACACTGCCCAGTTACGCTGCTTATCTTTTAGGACTGTCTGAACTTAGTGGTCTCAGAATTCCTTAGGTTCTTCTCCACTTCCCACGACAGTGTTCACCCAAATATATTGTCCTGAAAAAAGAGGCACTTGTCAGTAGTTTTCTGGTGGTTGGATTTAGGCGGAGAGCATAAGACAGCATCTGAACTCACACAGAAGTGGGCATGCTCAGGCTAGATAACACTGCTTCCACGGATGCTTTTAATTTGTTTTGTGGGTTGTTTCTTAGATCCTAAGTCTGTATCTGTATGTGAAGCACGAAAAATAAAGTTTGGCCCAACACTAACACTTTAGCGCTGTGCATCCTTAACGTTACAAGGGAAGTCTGAGCTCCAGCTGCCGAAAATCCCAGCTGGTTTTGTAGCCCTTGCAGAACGGACTCTGTAGCCAATTTACCAAGCTAACATTGGTCAGAGGAGCACGCTGAGAGGTGGTGAACGAGCTATTTCATCTATGCCAAAGAATAGTACAGACCCAAATGATGACACAAAACTGGGAGGAGTGGTGGATACCCCGGCAGGCTGTGCTGCCATCCTGCGAGACCTGGACAGGCTGGAGAGTTGGGTGCAGAGGGAACGTGATGAAGTTCAACAAGGGCAAGGGCAGGGTCGTGCACCTGGGGAGGAACAGCCCCATGCACCAGTACAGGCTGGGGCTGACCTGCTGGAGAGCAGCTCTGCG